TACATAAGAACCATTACAGAACGAAAATGACAAAATATACAAACACAATCATAAGCCGTTTCATGTTTTATATCTACATACGAGTACATATCACTACGGGGAAGAACAGGAATGCATATAGGATATTGTAAGATATGAGAGCTCCGTGGCGACTATAAAGAATGTCTTCTTCTGGGATGTGGCGCCGTGGAGATATTGTGTTAATCGACATTACGGAGGAACGTATCGCCTCCATCTTCAGGGTATAAAAAGTCCGCGAGCGATGAACCAGCGTGAGAAGGTGGCTGCAGTCTGCAGGCGCTTCGTTCCTCCGAAACGTCGCTCAAGACAATATCTACACGGCGCCACATTCCAGAAGACGCTGTTCTTCATATAGGATATTAGTTTGAAATCCAAAAGGAAAGAGATAGGCAGAACAAGGTGTAGATGGGTGGACAATATTGGAATGGATCTTAGAGAGACAGGCTGGGATAGTATGGATTGGATTGATCTGGCTCATTACAGGGACCAGTGGGGCCTCTTGTGAACACGGTAATGAACTTTCGGGTTCCATAAAATGCTGGGAAGTTCTTGAGTAGCCGCACAGTTGCTGGATTCTGAAGAAGGGCTCAGCTCCATGAGTGAGTGAGTACACATCACTAAACGTAATACAAGCACATGATATATTACGAAGGTGCGGCATCTTTTTTCGTATTCACTGTGACACTGCCCTTAATACTGACAGAAATTACTCTTGTCCCTTAGAATAACGCGACCTAGAGGCCATGTTTTTATGGACGGACTGCCAAGATACGTTTTATCGGCAACAACCAGCAGCGCAGTGCCATGTGTCCCAGAAGGGGACGGCCTGTAAAAATTATTACAACGAAGAAACATTTTAAAGCGGGAACATACAATTGCATCTCACGAATTTCATTACGTAATTTGGGACTATACAGTTGCCAGGAATTTCAGAAACAGAGATATTCATGAAAACCGACATAGCTCAGTAGACCAGGCCTGATTGGATTCCCGGTGGGAGCAGGAGACTTTTCCCATCACTGCGACGAACTCACCCCTCTATCTATGGGGCTCTTTCCCCATAGGGGGTTAACAATAATGACTGCAGTAATACCTCCACTTCCCCATACACAGTGCTTAATTAGACAAGTTCATTTATCTTCACAATGGGATTACATGAGAACAGGGTGCTGAGGAAAATATTTGGACCCAAGAGGGATGAAGTGACAGGAGGTTGGAGAAAACTGGATAATGAGGAGTTTCATTACTTGTACTCTTCTCCAAGTGTAATTAGAATGATCATATCAAGCAGGATGAGACGGGCAGGACATGTAGCACGAATAGGGGAATATATGTAGGATATTGATGGGGAAGCCAGAAGGAAAGAGACCAAGACGTAGGTGGGAGGATAATATTAAGGTAGATCTTAGGAAGACGGGATGGGGTCGTATGGACTGGATTGATCTGGCTCAAAATAGGGACAATTGGAGGGCTCTTGTGAACATGGTAAAAAATATTCGGGTTCCGTAAAATGCTGGAAAGTTCTTGAGTAGCTGCGCAACTTGCGGCTTCTCAAGAAGGGCTCAGCTCCATGAAGTTAGTCATGAGAGTATATGATTCATTATGTCTCGAAACCGTAAAAATATGACAACTGCGTTTTTATTTTTCAATGAAGAACTTAATGTATGTAGCTGGTAAACATTTGCAACAGCTAAGCACGTATGATAGCTAGTTGGAATCTGACTCACCCAAGTCACATTACAAGACGCAATTACACGGAAGAGGCGGTCTATAAAGCGTAATACAGCACTTTTCATCTATGGTATATGCAATATATGTCGTCGTTAACTTGTGGCGAAGTGCAATACCTGTGGCCAAAGAAAGTACTCGTTAATGGCAACATTTATATGCGAGTAAATATGGTTATGTGGTTCTGAAGTCAGTGACTATGAAGGGTACTATGTTCTGAGATGTGACGCCGCACTGAATAAGTCCATCGACGTTTCGGAGGAACATTCTGCCTCCATTTTCAGAATTGAAGAGTAAACCAAGAAAGCAGCAGAGTCCAGACTACACGGTGTCCCAGAAGACAGCAGTCACAGTCACAACTAAAATTAACTCTGTAGCTTTAGTCCGCAAGCGAACTATACTGACCTAGCGACCGCCGCTTGTCGGCGAAGTTAGTGCCAACTTTAGTGGGTGCCACGTGGTCATCGCAACGAATCCCAAAGGATGTTAATTTCGGTTTTCTAGACCGGAGTCGCTACTTTTCCATTCAAGCAGTTCCCCAATTATCCTCACGAGACCGAATGGACCTCGTCCAGACCCACTACTTCTCAGACAATCTGGTAGCGCCGAGAATCGAACCCGGGACCTCTGGAACTGTAGCCAGGAACTCTGACTACTAGACCACAGAGGCAGCCAGTCACAGCCACAAGGACGTCAAATCTAACGGAGAAGAATTTGCAGTTTCAAGGTACCAGGTCGAACTGGTACTAAGGAAACATTTTTTCATATGTCGCAAATGTTTTGATTGCATTTTTGTGGGTGAGTGAAACACAGAGGTTTCTGTGTACTTGGAAATGTCGCTCCGAGAGTAACTAGTGGACGAACTGTGAAATTGGCCACTTGTCTCCGTGTAACTACGTGGTCTATAATGCGTAACGCGTTACCGCCACGCCTCTATATGCCTACATATAGACCAATTCCTAGGCAACGACTCGGTAAACACTTTCCCGCACAAGCGTACGCGCGCACAACAAATAGGCGTCCATTGTTAAGCAACGGATCAGTAAACAAGCCTTCTTAACAAAAGAAGCTGTGTTTTCCATGCAAAGTGGTTATAAGGAAGTGTCCGGCAGTACAGCACAGTAGTCGAGTCAAGTCGAGTCGAGTTTCGGGAAGCCAACATGCCGGGATATGAGCCTGAAATTGGATGGAGTCAAGAATAATGGAAAGAAAGGAATTAGGCTATGAAAAGAAGCCTTCTCGTGTGGATCTGAAGTGTCAGTGTGACTGTTATAAATCCGTTGCGAGGTTATGACTAGTGAAGGCTGAGGTGCGTGTGTAACGGTCAACTGTAAAGTGTGTAGAATAACAATAGAGCTGTAATTGCCTGCAGTCTCGAGTACTGTGTATAAGGTGTCAATAAATCCAATCACCCAATCAAGAACGTGCAACCCCTACACGTGACAATATCTTAGGTACAGGAAGCCTCAGAAATGAGGTCTTTAAAAATACGATATCAAGTTTTGTCGAAGTCTTCCCCCCGCTTTCTGGTAAATGATACCGTGTAGTCTGGTGGATCTTCATCAGCGTACTATCTCCATATTCAGAATTCACTCCCCACCTCTTATACCCTGAAGTTGGAGGGCGTACGTTCCTCCGAAACGTCAACAACGATCTACAAGATTACAAGGCGTTACGTCCAGTAGACAGGAATCTTCATGCAATACTCATGGTTGTGATGGGGATGACTGTTATACCGTGCAGTCTGGTAGAAGATTACTGACGTTTCGAAGGAATGTATTGCCTCTGTCTTCAGGATAGAAGAGCAAACCTTGTAAGGACACTCGCTTGTTGCTCGGCGACTCTGAAGATGGATGTAGTACGTTTTTCTGAAACAGTCGGTAAACCTCTACTAGGCTACACGGCGTCACATCCCGAAAGGTATGTTCATAAGAACCGCTGTGAGGGCCTCAGTCTCACTGTCGACCAATTCATAATTCGGTTAGTTGTGGCCATGCAAGTGCGAAGACTGTGACACAACCACGCTAACATATGGGCAAGGTTTGCGAAGAGGGACAGCGGCCTTTACTATGGTAGTACTAGCATCTGAGAATAGACGTCGTGACATGAATGGAAGGCAGCTTGAGGGGAGCGGAAAGCAGTTTCCTGCTGCATGAGACGTACCAAGCAGCAGCCACGTTCATCTTTTATTAAAAAAAAAAATTATATAAAACACTTCTTTTTTTCTCTCTCTTCTTGTTGATCTTTCTGTAAGCCTCTCACTTCCTCCCCGCCCCACCTGTGTCCTCACTGGTTTCAGGTGCGCCTCCCTCCTCGTAATGGACTCGTCCTAAGTCATTCATGAGAAAACCTTTCCCATAAAACCTTGTAGTAGAGAAGATTGGGAGCGCAGTCGACCGGGAAGACGGTGCAAGCACGTACGTATATGCTAGGATCGACAGCAGAACCCACGAGTGAAGTGAACGGAAAATTTGCCTCACGTTTACAATTTGTGTGAACACTGACTCACTTGGTGACTTCAACGCACGAACCCTCGTGCGAAAGGAACGATTTTTGTCAGTAGGGCAGGCGCCTGGCTGGGCAGAAACGTGTACGGTCTTAATTTATAACTTGGCGCAAAAAGCTGTAACGTTAATTGGAAGGACGTGTTGGGCAGTGAGTGCTGAGGTTTATGTAAGCTGTGAACGTATGATTTAAGCTTTTCGATCAATAGAAGGGACTCTGAAACAGTTCCGAATATATCTGTTAATTGCTTATAAAGCGTTTGGAAGTTAGACTGCTTCCAGATTTATCTATGTTTAGACAAGCATTGTTGCCGTAGATGATTAGTAAGTATGTAATCTTCCCAATGTTACATGGAAAAATTCAGGCGTTTCGTTCAACAAATTTGTAATTAGTGTCGAATACAACCTACTACTACTATCACTACTACTACTGCTGCTAATTATAATAATAATAAATTTTATACATCAGTTATGGTTATGTGTTCGTGATTAATATATCAAAATTATTTTTATATAGAAAGACAAGCCATACAAGATCAGGTTGAAAAGTAATTTTGTTACATTTTTAGTGTCAAAAACATATCTGGAATAAAAAAAATAGAGAACATAGTTATCTGAGTGGTTTGAAGACATAAACTGTGGTTACAGATGTTCACTATAGACTTTTGACCACGTGTACCAAGGAAACATCCCAGAACAACAAACCTGATTAGTAACTACAAGCTTGAAAAGCACTGGGCACGGACCTGCTATGACAATCAGCTGATCGCGGTGACTTAGTGCGCTTTCACACTCATAAAAGAGAGAAACCTTTCACTCCGTATCCAATAAGTACGCTTCACAACAAAGAATTATACTGACTTTGAAGTTACACCTGTAGTCAATACTACACTCTAGTGGACTCGATTTAGAAACAGATCCATGCTATCCGAATAGGGGGGGAGGTATTGATTATCCTTCTGTCTAACAAGAGACCGAACTATGACAGTGCAGTCAAGAGGTTGTCAACAACACGAAATGAGTGTTCGAACTTTGGCAGTGGTATGCCTGGGAATGGTAATGGCGGGCGTCGGCGTCGCAGGGGCGTCCAGGCTACCACTCGTAGTTTTCCAGCACCACCACTCCCATCACCATCACATATATGACGAGCAAGAAGTCCAGCAGGTTCAGGAAGAATCCAATGCACCGGCCAGTGACAATCACCATTTCCCGCATTTCAAGAATTTCGACGAAGAAAGGGGATTGAGGGTGCTGTACCAAGTGGGGGTAAGTACAGTTGATACTGTCAGTCAGTACATTACGACTGTAAAATTCTGCTCATCTGAAATGGGAAGTTGTACATATGCGCCTATTCGCTTTGTCATGTGTGTTCACATGTAACAATTCGAGAACTGTGCAACGGATTTTAACAAAATTTGAAATTGGCTGGTTTTACTAAAACTTGTCGAACCATTCCAGTTCTTCCTAAAATTGGACAAATAAGATACGTGTAAGTGGAACGTAAAATCTTAATAATAATTACGTCCTTGTGTTGTAATGCCGTGTGTATTTAGGAGGATACCGACGTTTCGGAGGTATATGCTGCCTCCATCATTATGGTAGAACTTGAAAGAATAAAATCAGTAATGATATTGTAACTTCGATACCACAAAACGTAACTCTATGTCCAGGTTTAAATATAGTATGGGGACAAACTCCAGCTGCATGGGACATTCCTTCTTGGATAGTTGTTAAAATCGCAAAGGTGTACAACAAATTTCTGTTCTTTCATAGAGTTGGAAGGTTCACTACCATAGTGACAAAAGCCCGCACCTGATCCCTGTCCTGAGCTATATGAATCCAGTTCACATCCTCATATCCTCTTTCTTTAAGACCATTTTAATATTATCTACATGCCAACACGATATAGCATTGCTAATGGTACAGATAAAAAGTGAAGTGAGGATCACAGTTGCCGCGCGGTCTAAGGCATGAACAGTCTTCGCCCGTTCGAAAACCAGGATCGTGGGTTCGAATCCCACTGAAGGCATGGATGTCTGTGTGCGTTTATTCTGTTTGTGTTGTTCTGTGTGTAGGTAGCGGCCTTGCGACGGGCTGATCCCCCGTCCAAGGAGTCCTACCGACTGTGTACGAATTAAGGAACTGAAAAAGCGACCAAGGTCCACAAGATCTGTACAGGCACAGACAGAGATAGAAAATGTTTTCAGTTTTCCTTGTGCTTCATCAATTAAACACGACGCCATAACGGCGTAATGGGGAGTCCAGGTATAGCTCTACCATTTTTAACTTCAGAATTAGATGGAGATGAGTGGTCAGCTTCACGCCCCTGCCGCTTTACCCCCAGGGAAAGAGCCTCCGGTAGCCATTGCATAGGAGGCTGGCGGTCTGGAGGCTGTGAAGAATTGAAAAATCTCTTGTCCTTGCCAGGAATCGAACCTTGGGTGTCCAGCCCATAGCCCATCACTATACTGAGATATCCCAGCTCTCAGTATCACCAATGTCCCTACGGAAACCGCTACATAACTCCCTCACTCCAACACGACTCATTATCCAGTTTACAGGCACAGGACATGCTTCTGCATACGTCACCGCATCTCAGGACGAATTCATAAACTGAAGCCATCAACATCAATTTAATCCGCAGAGGCACTCTGGAAGGAGCAAATTCTTGTTGTGCTCGTAGACTTTTTGTGTGCGACGTCACTTCTTCATAAATGATAACTTCTAGGATATGTTTCGACCTAATGAGATCATCATCAGGAAGATACTTTTACATAATTACTACATTATACTGATTTTCCTAGTATATTGTTCGTGAACTTGGTTAAACCTACTTAGAATTACTAGTTTCTTGGACTCTGTCCATCGTCCGATATTCTACAAACCAAAGAACACAGCGTTTCGGAGACTGAATCTGTTTCCGTCATCAGGAGAGAGGGGAGGTACTTATTCTGATGGGTCCCTTAGAAAGAGCTAACCTCAAGCACTGGACAACCCATGTCACTAACAGCACTGACATGGATAATGCAGTGACTAACTCTTTGCCTGAATTACATTTGTAGCCTTATTTATTGACTAACACGATCATTATAAATTTGTAGGAATTCTAAAAAAAATTAACCGCCATTAGCTCCATCTTTTCCGAAACTGGGTCCACACGTGCTTGGGACCAAAAGAGGTTTTTCTTAAAGCAACGACTCCAGGAGGGTGTTGGCAATTTTTAAATGGGGCTCGCACCAGCAAACAATATTTTGTCCTTCATTCTTGAAATAAAGAGATAATACATTACTTACGTACATATCCTTAGCGATACATAGAAGTATATAATTTATTATTTCCTACGCCAATAAGAAGGGGGCTCAGACAAGCTCTTGCGCGAGTTCCTCCAAGTTCCCTGTGGCACAAGCCTGGATAAATCTGATTGAGGAAATCAAGAGTTGAATGCGCTACCTTCACACATGTTATCTAATGCAATATTCAGTAGGTCACTGACGCCATATCGACTGACTCCTGCACAGGTTTCAACACACCGTTTCCCTTTCTATTGTGGCGCAGGCAGAAAGTGACGCATCCATGTCAGTAACTTTGAGAAGAACTGCTTTCTTTTCTTGAGACCTTTAGTTCAGTTAAGACCAAGTGCATCATACTCCAGTCCTTTCACAATACATTTTGTTCTCAAATACCACAAATATTCTAAAAGTTCAGGGGCTGCTGTCTGTATAAAAGTAAAAAGGAAAGATGTCCCTATGCTTAACGACTTAATCATTACGCCATGAAGGCGTATGGATATATAGATCTACATTTTCTTGACCTCGGCATTAGCTGGAGATGAGTGGTCAGCTTCACGCCCCGGCCGCGTTACGCCAGGGGAAAGAGCCCCCCGTACCTATTGGATAGGAGGTTGGGTGGACCCCAGAGTCGGTCTGAACGACATAGTGAAGAGAAAAAAAAATCTTGATCCTACTGGGACTCGAACTCCGACCCACCGGTCGTAGAAACCGTAGCCAGTCGCTATACCGACTGTCCTATCCCGGCTCTCCCTGCTTTCTGTGTAAGGTAAAGCTGTCCATGTAACAGGCCGTGAAGGCTCATAGGGTTGTGAGGCGTCGAGGCTCCCTTTTTTCCCTAGACAATCTGCTCACAGCGGTGAGGTTGTCGGCCATAGGCGCCGACCGCCCTTTACGCCCCAGGAAGATCCTTACTACTCAATTCTGTTACAGGCTAAGTCGACACCAGGAGGACAGTGCAGGTGGAAGGATCAGGTCAATTAAAAAAAAATCCAATAGCCTCATCGGGAATAGAACACGTGATTTCTTCCTTCTCCACACCATCCAGACTGACTTTGGTGTTCACCTAGCTTCCTGGGGGTTCTTGCCAGAGGGTATAGGGATCACGGAAGGAAGCTGATAATCCAATTCTATCAACTGTCGAGGTTAACAATGCGCGGAGACATAGCTACACCCCCATACGTCTTCATGGCATGCAGCCTAATTAATCACGAGGATACATGCACGCAACCGGACAAAATCCTGGTTTTAATTAACGTTTCAAAGACTGCGTTCAGTCATTGAGAGATATTGTGGGCACCCTTCCTGTTCTGTCACTGCGCTATTGAGGTTTCCCGTCACACGTCAATGTGATTAGATACTGCACCATTTCTCCACTTCAAATCGCGTGTTAACTAGGTCACTGAAGAATGCCAGCCACTTACCAAAACTTGGTGCACACAAAATGGATTCGCAACGAGCGGAGTGGGTCAAGTGGCGATGGTTCATATCTCAGGTGGCACACCGACTATCGTCACTAAGATTTTTGTGGGTTTCCTCATTCTGTCCAGCCAATATGATAGTGGTATTACAAACTGGGTGACTGCCGTTGTCAGAATATTTCGTTAAGTCATTTCAATTTGCATCTGGTAATGCATGGAATATATATCGCTTTATTCGACGCTACCGGCTACAGATCCTGAGGCTCCGGGTTCGATTCCCGGCGCTACCAGATTTTCTGAGTAGTAGTGGGTCTGGAAGGCGGTCCACTCAGCCCCATCAGGATAACTGTGGAGCTATTTCAAGGAAATAGCGGCTCCGGTCTAGAAAACCGAAATTAACGGCCGTGGAGATCTGTTGCGCTGACCACGCGATACCCTCTATCCGCTAAAGTTGGCACCAACTTCGCCGACAAGTGGCGGTCGCTCGGTCGATTTAGTTCGCCTGCGGACTCAAGCCACGGAGTTTTTTTATGTCATGCCTCTGGGGGGGGGGGCGCGGTAGCATAGTTGGTTGAGGCTATATGCTACAAGACGAAAAATCGTGGGTTGGAGTCACGATGAGGTGCATCTTTATAGTTTACCTAATCCAGTGTCACTATGGCCCTGGGGTCGACTAAGCCTCTAAGATAAATGAGTACCAGGAATCTTCCTAGGGGGTAAAGGGCGGTCTGCGTCTAAGGCTGACAACCTTACCGCCATCTGTGAGCCGATTGTCTAAAGAAAATGTGGGAGCCTCGAAGTCCCGCAACCCTAAGGGCCTTCACGGCCTGATACAGGGATAGCCTTAACTATTTTACCTTCATCAGTAACTTAAAACACTAGGGTGAGTCAGGAAATAAGCTACAAATGGTCATAATATGAAAAATAAAAAAACAAGCGAGATTCGAATCTGAAAGAAATATTTCGAACGTCCTTGAGAAAATTTCTCGACCCAGTTGTGAACCGCCTTACGCGGCAAACACTGCTCACCGTACACAGGTACATTTCTTTACGAATATCCTTTGCATAAAGTCCTTTTGCCCACAAGAAGATCACAACAGAATGCTGATCTTTGATAGGACACTCAAGTACAGTCACCATTTTGACTACTGAAGCCAGCCTCTGAACATATGCATTCGCGTCTACTGCCGAGACTGTCATGAAGCTGGATTGTGCTGCTATCTAGCGATACATATACAAAACGTATTACGTTCATTACAGCTGTTTTACTTCCATCTGTGATCTATTCACAGACACTCCCTCGTATACAGCATTGAATGCTAGGATGATTGGCGAATAAAAAATTAGATGGGATGTAGAAAGAAGCAGACGTGTCATAATTTGAGTTACTGCCCCTGCATACGAGTAAAAAAAGTAAAGGTATCCCTGTAACGGGCCGTGGAGGCCCATATGGTTGTGAGATGTTGAGGCTAACATATTTTCTAGACAATCGGCTCATAGATGGCGGTATGGTTGTCAGCCTTACGCGCCGACCGCCCTTTACCCCCAAGAATATTCC